ATCATCCATCGATCTCCATCCATCTCCATCCATCTCGTACCTCTGGCCGCCGCATGCCCGCAATGACCACCACCTCCCAGGCGCAGCGCTCCGAGGTGACACGGCTGCTCGACCAGCTCTTTGCGGGAGGCGGCGGCGGAAAGGTCGTGTACCGCGGCTACGTCGACGACCCGCGCAACACGGACAACGCTTGGTGAGCCGCCCGCCGCTGTGCCCTCGCGCCTCCACCCAAAGCCGCCTCCACCCAGCCCGCCGCCACCCAGCCCGCCTCCACCCAGCCCGCCGCCACCCAGCCGCCACACCGCAAGAGCGTGCCGCACTCGAGCGTGCCGCACTCTCGTGAGCTCTCCCCCCGCCGCAGACCCCTCCCCTCCCCCGCGCTCTCCAGGATGGAGACGACGGCGCGCTCCGCCTCCCGCGCGTCTGCACCTCGGCCGCACCTCGGCCGCACCTCGGCCGCACCTCGGCCGCCCCTCGGCCGCACCTCGGCTCCAGTCTCGTCACAGGCCTTCCACTTCCATGCGACCGGGGCGGCGGCGCGGCTGCAGCTCACTGCGGGCGGCGACGCGGCGCGCGCGTTTTGGCTGCCCGTCAGCCCGAGCAGCAAGGAGTACGCGAACATGTTGGCTGACCACCGGTCGTGGGTCGACCAGGCCGCACGCACCGCGCGCTCACAGTCACACCCGGAGTGGGAAAGCAGAAACCTGAAACCTGAACCTCGACCTCACCCTAACCTGGACTTGCCCTGCCCTGCCCTGCCCTGAAACAAACAGGCGGCCGCCACGCTGCACAAAGGCGGCGGCGCATCCCAGTCAGCCTCCCTCGCCAGCCGCCCGCCCCCGGCGACGTCCTCGCAGCCCGCCGCGCAAGGTCTCGACGCGCGGCTGAAGAGCCTCGGCCAGGCGCGGGGGCGGCAGTGAGGGGGCCGGCGGTGAGGGCGCGGCGAGCATGCTTGGGAGGGAGGTTTTACGGTGTCCGTCGCCTGGAGGCGTGCGGCTCGGTACCGCGCCGCGTTGTCCCGGCAGAGCATGAACCGTGGACTACAACAACACGTACAACATGTACGGAGCGACCGTATCGGCCTTGCGGGTCTGACGAGATGCGGAGATTGAGTACGTGCAGGAAGAGGTAGGTCGTACAGGGTGGATAGAGTTACACGTGTGCGGAATTATAATATTCTATCGCCGCGCGCGGGGTTCTCGCGCTCTCTCGCTCCGCACACGTCGCTTCAGCTGTGAGTCGGTGACAGCCCTCTCCCCTCGCTGCGACACTCTCCGTTTATTGCCGTCTTTCGGGTGGCCTCAATAAAGTTATTCTGCCGGTGCCGGGAGAGATACGCATGCAGCCTCACGCCCGCGGGCTCGCGCGGCGCCGCAGTGCAGGCGGACGGACGGCATGGCAAGGCGCGCGGGCCACCGCCCGCAAGCTCGATCCCAGCTGCCTCACAACAGCTCCCTGGCTGACAGCACACACGGCAGTCCCCCTGCTTCCGGACCTGCGTACTCCCCTCGACCGTCCACGCGGCTCTCACCGGGCGCGGCGGCGCGACGCCTCCCTCATAGAGCCTCTGAACGAGGAGTACGGACCAAACACACACCGTCCTCACTAGTAGAGCCCCTCAGAGCTCGTCCTTGCTCTTGCCCTTTGGGCCGCCGAACTGCGGCGACGGGGGAGGAGGCCAGGGCGGCGGTGGTGAGGGTGGTGGCGGGCTCGGCGTCGGCAGGCTGGGCGGCGGCTGGGCGGCGGGCTGGGACATCACCCAGACATCAGGCGGCGGGCTGGGAGGCGGCGGGCTAGGGGGGCGGGGGCGAGGGCGGAGACGGCGACGGTGGCCTCCTCCCAGGAGATGAAGCCGTCCTTGTCCTTGTCCTCCTTCTCCCACAGGCCCTCGGGCAGCTCTTCCTTGCCCTGCAGAGGGGCGGCGGGCGGCGCGGGGTCTGGGTCTCCAGCCACCGCTCTCCGAGGCTGCGGCTGGGGCAGAGGGCCGCTTCCGGCTCTCGGCTCTGCGCGAGGCGCGGCAGCTCGTCCCGTCGCGAGGAGTCGACATCTCGAGAAGTGTCTCGACATCTCGAGGGTGCCTCGGGCGCGTCTCGAGAAGTGTCTCGAGAAGTGTCTCGAGAGGGTGAGTCGGGAGGTGCGTGTGAAGGTGCGTCGGAGGTGCGTCGGAATGTGTCGGAAGGTGCGTCGGAGGTGTGGCGGAGGTGACTCGGAGGTGTGGCGGAGGTGTTCTCGGGAAGGGCGTGTCCTGCCTGCTGCTTGAAGAAGGCAAGCACCTCCTCCTGGGTCAGCTTGGCGTCCTGCGGGCACGGCTCCGAGAAGGCTCGAGAACGCTTCGACAAGGTTCGGGTGAGGCGCGCGGCCGGCGGCGGAGCAGCGCCTCTGTGGTCGCTCGCTCGGCGTGTTGAGGTAGTCTCAGTGTTGATAGTCTCTCGTTGAGGGAGGAAGCGTCTCCGCAATGTCTCGGAGGTGCCTCGGCAGTGTCTCGGAGGTGTCTCGGAAGTGTCTCGGAGGGTGGAGGTGTCTCGGAGCGACCTTGTCGGTATCGAGGTCCTTGAAGAGGTTTGGCTCGGGCGGCCCCTCGTCTGAGTGACTCACCACCTCCACGTCGAAGCTGAGCGCCTAACCTCGGCCGATCTCGGGTGATCTCGGGTGGCCTCGTCCGAATGGCTCGCCACTTCCGCGTCAAAGCTGACCGCTCCTCCCGGAATGTCGCCGCCCGCGCCGCGCGCGCCTGTCCAGCAGCTTGCAAGTGTAAAGCGGCGCTGCTCAAACACGGTGCCGGCGAGAAGGCAGAGCACCGTAGCCCATGTCGGGCGGGATCGTGAGCACCGCCTTGGCGCCCACGCAGAGCCCCTCAAGACCCTTATCCCAGCCCTGGATCACGCGGCCGGCGCCCAGCTGGAAGTCGAACGTCTTGCCGCGGCCACGCGACGAGTCGAACTGCTTGCCCGGCGTGCCCGCCGCGCTGTCCTTGTCGATGGTGCCCTGTTGCGCGGGAGATTGTGAGTGGTGGCGAGCGGCAGCGGCATATGTCTCGAACGCACAAATGCGGTGCGGGATCGCGGTCAGCGTGCTCTCGCTCTCTCCTAGGGGCTGCGATGTCGTGGCTTGCGCCGCACCGTGTAATGCATGGATACGTGCTCGCCCTTCTTGAGCTTGTCCGCATCCTCGCACTCCTTTGGGCCGTCATAGACTTCGACCTTGAGCTCAGTCACGGCGGCGGCGGCGCCGGACGCGAGGAGACTGCAGGCGAGCAGCATGCGGAGCCTCGATTTATCTGTGACGCACAGGGAGAGGCGGAGCGCCGGCTTCACCGACGGTCGCCACTTTGTGTGAGGTTTGGTTTTTTCTTCTTTATCGCCTCGGCGAAAGTCATTTTTCGATGGTGAGTGCCCGCGCCGCCTACTTCCGCGGACGGGCCCCTCCACCCTGTACGGTCATGCCCCGAGACGCTGTCGCTTGTCGTAGGAAAACATGAACCCCGAAAGAAAGAAAGAAAATGGACAACCCAAGGGAGGGATGGGAGGACGGAAGAACCCCAAGGAGCGATGTCGCGGCCGCGTTTTCTTAGTTTTCGATTTTTCGCGCCGGGCCGCAGGGGGTCTGAACCTCCGGAAAAGAAATTCCCGCATCTCCAACGAGACTGTCCCATCTTCGCTGGTTCGCCGAGGCTGGGCAGTCTCCGCCGGCCGCAGCCCGAAGACGCAGCCTTGCAGAGGACGCGTTAGCGGTCAGATGGGTCCAATTTTGAGCCTCGGAGGAGCTCCCGTTGCCTCACGGCGGCTGCTAGACGAGGGCCGGACGCCTCTCAGGCGCCGGCGACTCAACTTTGATCCGGCGGCCTATTTATTGAGGGTGGCTTCACGACTCCGGCCCTCGCACGCGCCCACACGACCCCCTGGACCGGCCTGTCCGACCCACCCCTCTCGACGCGCACCACGCGCCCGACGCAGGAGCCGCGCGGAAGTCGGCGCTCGACGTCGCCGCTCGACCTCCGCCGCGAGAGGCGTCTCGCGGGGCCTGTTCGAGCGTAGTCAGGAGCGCCGCCGCTCCCCCTGGCCATGGGGCACGTGCGGGCCCTTGCCCGTGCCGCCCGTGTGCCGACACGGACCGTTTGACGCCGTCGGTTCTCTTCACACTCGCCCGCGCCTTCGGCCCGCCCGCCACGCCTCCCGCCCCCCGCGGCGACGCCCCGCCAGAGCGATTAATTGGCCGTCGACCTCCGTCCCCTCGTCTGCAGGGGCCGCTCTGCTGACTTGAGCTCTCCGCGGCGCGATTTCTGCAGTTGAGATCGCCTCCCGCCCGCCTCCCGCCCGCCTCGCGTGCCTCTGCTCTCCCGCCCCGCCCAAGCGGCGCCGCGCACGCGAGACGCCCTCTCGAGGCGGAGCCCGTTCAATGTCGCGCTAAAAGCGTGATCGCGTCTCGTTTACGGTGCATACTCACAACCACGCACACCATGTCCCGCTCAGGCTCCTACCGGATAATCATACCCTCCACGACACCGGCGTACATGGCGACGGTCCCGTGCACCGGCGCCGTGCCGAGCCGTCCTCCTGCTCGGCAACCAGCTCCGCCGTGTCTCGATGCCGGCAGCATCCGGTGCGTCGCCGCCGGCGACACCGCCCGCTGCGGCGAGTGGCATGTGCGGTGGCGCGCCCTGCTGCGTGGCCGCCGCCGGCTCGGACGTGGCCGCGGCTGGAGCCGGGCCTGGGTCGGTCGCGGCCAGAGCCAAAAATGGAGCGCAGCTAGGGCTGCGCAGCGAACAGGAGCGAGTTCGCGCTGCGGTGCTCAGTACGGCGAGTTCGCTCTGCGGCCTGCTCGGGCTTTATCTCTCGCGTCTCGGCTGCGTTGGCTGCTAAAGTCTTTTTTATCGGTGCGTTTTAGCTGTTTTAGCAGCAAACGTCCGAATTCTGCAGCGATGACCGATCTGGGAGGCTTTCCGGCTTTGCCTTTTTTTGGTCTGGCTGTGGTCTCACAATTTGGTGCGAGAGACGGTCTCAGACCCCAAAGAGAATGCAGAATCTAATGTTTTTTCACACACAACACAGACACAGACACTGCGCTCCCCTCAGCTCCCGCGCTGGCAGGGAGACGCGAGCCCTGACGGAGTCCGGTGGTGGGGGCCCGCCACGCAGCTATAGCGCCGCCCTGCGCTGACATGGTTCGTGCTGAGCCGCCGCCGCCGCTCGCTCTCGAAGAGCGTCGCGCTGCTGCCCGTTCCCGGAGCGCAGAGCGCGAGTTTGGTGGTCAGGGCCTCGCCTGAGGGGGGGGGGGGAGTGAGGACGTCACCGAGCGGGTGGGGCTGCCGGGAAGGTGGTGGGCGGGCGTGGATGCACCTCAAGTACGAGCGAGTAGCGGAAAGACCGCCCGCTACTCCGGCGGAAGAGTGCTCTCCCGCCGCCCCCTGGGTCACCCCGAGTGACCTCGCAGCCCACGCCGTGAGGCGCTGCTGCTGTCAGGGGATGTTGGGGGCGTGCAAAGCGGCTGGGAAGAGACGGCCAGGCTCCTCGCGGGCAAAAGACTGACGTGGCCGCCGCATTCAGCCTCCGGCGGGCCTCCGGCGGACGCCTGCGGCGTGACGCTCCGCGCGAACAGCCCCGTCTCGGAAGCGCTGCGGGACGGCCTCGCTTCAGCGTGCGCCTGCCGGGGTGGGGTGGTCACCAGATGAAATCGCGGCCGCAGCTGCTTCGAGGGGTGATTGAGGCCGGGCAGGAACGGCTTCTCCCGAGGTGCCCGAATCGAGTAGGCCGACGCCACAAGCAGGAGGGCTGCGTGGACCTCCTGGGCCTTCTTGGTCGGGTCGCTCCTCCTGGCATGGCGCTCGGCCTGCGAGCACGGGCGGAGCGAGCGGTGAGCGGGCAGTGTGCCGCCGGGCGGGGAGCTCCGTCACCCTATCGCGGAGCTCTGGTCCCGCCCCTGGGCCGGGATGCCACCCACAATAAAACCCGTCCCACCCGAAGCGCATCTGCCGGGAACGGCCTCCTCGAAACGGAGGCGCGGCGCGGGCGGCGCGCGGGGCAAACGGGCGCACCTTGGGGGCTCCGAGGGGCTTGCGGACGGGCTTTCAGGCCAGCCGCGGACCGGCGCCGGGTTCTCTCCGCGCCGCGAGCCAGGCGGGGCCGAAGAGGAGGACGGACCGCTCAGTCTGCCATCGTGGCTCTGTGGCCCCCCAGAGACCTCGCAGGCAGGTTCAGACCCCCTGGACCAGCTCCTCGACCCGTTGCAGTCGACGCCCAGCCAGGAGACGCTCCCAATCTCGACAAGGGGCCCATGAATCTGTTGCTCAGGCACGCCACGAGGCGGCTCGGCGCAGCCACGACGCTCAGCGCAGCCACGAGGCGGCTCGGCGCAGCCAGCAGCCGGCGTTACTCTGGGACGGTGTACGGCGGAGAGAGCTCCTCGCCGGCCTGCAGGGCCACGTTTGATGCGTGGCACGAATCCGTCAGTGCCGTGATGAGCGGCAGAGCGACGGCGGAGAGCCTGCGCGACTCTTTTGGCGCTCACGTGCACCCGGCGTGCATGTTTCGGCCTCCGACCTACTACGCGCCGTGGGAAGGCCGCGATGAGACGCTGTTGCTCCTCGGCTGCGTGTCGGAGGTTTTTGGTTCGTCCTTCCAGTACGGCAGGCAGTGGCTGAGTGAGGATGGGAAGGAGTGGGCGCTCGAGTTCACCGCCGAGATTGAGGACTCGGGGCGGACACTCCAAGGAATGGACCTGGTCAGCCTGTGCGACGAGGGGCTCATCCGCGACTTCACTGTGCTTGCCCGCCCTCCGAACGCCGTCGCGGAGCTCAAGGCCGCGATGATGCGGCGCGTGCCAGTGCGTCTCGCGGCGCTCAAGGCAAAGCGCGCCCTGGGCCTCGTGTGAACTATGATCTCTCTCGTTGCGACCAATACGGATGAGAGAGTGCGATCCTGAGACTGTTGTGCATTGTCCGTTGAACCGAATGTATCGCGGTAATCCAGTAAACACCGCAATCCTCAACGTAAGATAAAAACCTACTCACTACTCTATTCTGACGTACCGCTCCCCGAATTGCGAATAAGGTAAAAAGGTAAAGGTAAACGTCTCCACAGTCACACACAAAGTGGTGGGGCAAGGGGGGGCGACCCTCGCATCTCCACGCCCGGGCACGGGCAGGAGCCCCACGGCATTCAAAGTGCAAGCACCGGCCCGGTGCCGTGGGTGAGCAACCTGCACCCCACTCCCTCCCTCCCAGACACAGGACCCACACACAACCCCCCACGCAGCGTGGACGACTACGTGTTCAGAAACACCACAAGCAGCGAGGCGAGGGTGAAGGGGTAAGGGGCTGTGTGGGGCAGAATCTACATCTGACTACTCCATCTAGCCTGGGGGGTCGGAGGAGGGGGGGGCAGAAAGGGTAAGATATGGTTGAAGCCAGCTAGCGGTCGGACGCCCTGTCGTCGGAATACTCCTCGGAGCCGGTGTCCTCGTCGTCGTCCTCGCCCGACGCGGAGATCGGGCGAGAGGTCTGCATCGCCTCGCCGGCTGTGAACCTGAACACGGCGTCGGCCGGCGCCGAGGCGCCGGCGGCCGTCATCAGGTGCATGACGAATCTGTCGCGGCATGCCGCATCTATCTCTCCATACTCGGCCAGCTCGGTTGCGAGCCAGTCCGAGGCGACGGTCGTCGCCACGGTCCCCTGGGGAACCTTGGCGTACACCTTGCTGGGGCCGCGCCGATATCCGTCGTCCCTCTCCGGGGGCAGCGAATATTCGACCTCTATTTTGGACCCGGCCTGGCTGCGCGTCTGCGCAGCTGCAGTCCGCAGCCCGGCCATCACGTACTGGATGTTCTCGCGCAGCTGCGCCCGCGGGGCCTCCGCGCGCTCGGCCTCGCTCGCGGCGCGCTCGCCAGCCTCCTTCGCCCGGCGCGCCTTCTGCCGGGCCTTCTTGGCCTTGCGTGCCGCGGCCCGAGCCGCGAGCTGCTCCTTGGTGAGCTCCTTCTTCTTTGGCGCGGTGCGCTCGACGTACGAGCGCTCCGCCGCCCCTGCACCGACGCGCGGTCGCCCGCGGCCTTCTCGTGCTTCAGGTCGATCTCGATGGTCGCGTAGCCAGGCCTTATCAGCCGGACCTGCGACGCACCTGCGATCCTTGCGACCATCACCGCGTCCTCCAGTTGCACGCGATCGGAGCCATTCCAGCGTCCGCTGCGCATCCCCGGCGGCACGACGGTATCATACCGGGTTCGGGTATCTGGCCGGCGCTTGCGCACCCCAGCCCCGTCCGCCACCGGGTCCGCGGCCGCGGTCCCTGTCATAGCTACGCGTGCCATGGATCGGCGGTTACACTAGGCCGCTGGTTCGTGCAATATTGCGAATACGGGGACCCTCTACCTCCCTCTAGAGCAGCGCTCCGTACATGCAGGGTTCGTGAGTGAATTTTCACACTTTCACTTTCACATGTGAATTCATGTGAATTTCACATGAAATGTTTCGGCCGCCCCCGTTTCACTGAAAATTTCACAAGTTCGACTACTTTCGAAGGCTCTGGCATCTCCGAGGCGGCAGCGGCGGAGGCGGCAGCAGTCGAGGCGGCAGCGGCGGAGGCGGCAGCGGAGAGAGCGGCGGTGCGCCTACCACTGCCGGCACCGGTAGGGATCTCTGTGCCACCAATGCCGCGCGTTCCTGCTTCCCACCTTCCCTGCAGCGAGGCCGTGGTCAAGGCCGTGGTCGTCCCCAAGGCTCAAAGAACAGGGGCCCGCCCTCACTGCATCAAAACGCGGTGTTTGAAAGCGAGGAAGTGTAGAAAGGAAAGAGCCCACAATAACTAGTGAGAGGAGGTGCAGCTTGGTTCGTGTCCTCGGGCGCTCGAGGACGTGTGTGTTGCCTCAATGTTCTTTTAATGCGCGCCCCCGCCGAAATACACTGCAAAACACCATACACGCGAGATGCGTCGGCAGCGACGCGCACGACCTCTTAAGAAGCACCGTGTCGTTAGGGTTAGGGTTAGGGTTAGGGTTAGGGTTAGGGTTAGGGTCAGAGAGCGTTCAAGCCGTTGTGCAGCTCCTAAGAGAATGGTCCGGTTTGGGCCGAAACCAAATGGCGGAATCAGCGGTCCGTCGACACGAGCTCTCGGTGAACGCTTTGGGTTCGTCGGGCTAGGGTTAGGGTTAGGGTTAGGGTTAGGGTTAGGGTTAGGGTAAGGGGTTGGTTGTCGTCGCGCGCTCTCGATATCTGGCTAAGACAGAGACACAGCAGCAGAGGCGACCCAAGCGACACATCAGAGCATGGATGCTTGGGGGCGCGAGCCGCCATCTTGGACTGTGAGGCGAGTATTTGCAACCGGGAGCTCGCCGCCGCCCCTACACCGCCGCCGCCGCCCTCCCGGTGGCAAATAATAGCCCAAGTCGAAGAGTGCGCCCCGCCCTCGGTATCTGGGCGGCAGGCGGGACTAGAGAGGCACGCTGGTGCACGGATGGGGGCGCGAGCCGCCATCTTGGACTGTGAGGCGAGTATTTGCAACCGGGAGCTCGCCGCCGCCCCTACACCGCCGCCGCCGCCCTCCCGGTGGCAAATAATAGCCAAGTCGAAGAGTGCGCCCCACCTTCGGTATCTGGGCGGCAGGCGGGACTAGAGAGGCACGCCGGTGCGCGGATGGGGGCGCGAGCCGCCATCTTGGACTGTGCGGCGAGTATTTGCAACCGGGAGCTCGCCGCCGCCCCTACACCGCCGCCGCCGCCCTCCCGGTGGCAAATAATAGCCCAAGTCTCGAAGAGTGCGCCCCGCCTTCGGTATCTGGGCGGCAGGCGGGACTAGAGAGGCACGCTGGTGCACGGATGGGGGCGCGAGCCGCCATCTTGGACTGTGAGGCGAGTATTTGCAACCGGGAGCTCGCCGCCGCCCCTACACCGCCGCCGCCGCCCTCCCGGTGGCAAATAATAGCCCAAGTCGAAGAGTGCGCCCCCCACCTTCGGTATCTGGGCGGCAGGCGGGACTAGAGAGGCACGCTGGTGCACGGATGGGGGCGCGAGCCGCCATCTTGGACTGTGAGGCGAGTATTTGCAACCGGGAGCTCGCCGCCGCCCCTACACCGCCGCCGCCGCCCTCCCGGTGGCAAATAATAGCCCAAGTCGAAGAGTGCGCCCACCACCTTCGGTATCTGGGCGGCAGGCGGGACTAGAGTGGCACGCTGGTGCACGGATGGGGGCGCGAGCCGCCATCTTGGACTGTGAGGCGAGTATTTGCAACCGGGAGCTCGCCGCCGCCCCTACACCGCCGCCGCCGCCCTCCCGGTGGCAAATAATAGCCCAAGTCGAAGAGTGCGCCCCGCCCTCGGTATCTGGGCGGCAGGCGGGACTAGAGAGGCACGCTGGTGCACGGATGGGGGCGCGAGCCGCCATCTTGGACTGTGCGGCGAGTATTTGCAACCGGGAGCTCGCCGCCGCCCCTACACCGCCGCCGCCGCCCTCCCGGTGGCAAATAATAGCCCAAGTCTCGAAGAGTGCGCCCCACCTTCGGTATCTGGGCGGCAGGCGGGACTAGAGAGGCACGCTGGTGCACGGATGGGGGCGCGAGCCGCCATCTTGGACTGTGAGGCGAGTATTTGCAACCGGGAGCTCGCCGCCGCCCCTACACCGCCGCCGCCGCCCTCCCGGTGGCAAATAATAGCCCAAGTCGAAGAGTGCGCCCCCCACCTTCGGTATCTGGGCGGCAGGCGGGACTAGAGAGGCACGCTGGTGCACGGATGGGGGCGCGAGCCGCCATCTTGGACTGTGAGGCGAGTATTTGCAACCGGGAGCTCGCCGCCGCCCCTACACCGCCGCCGCCGCCCTCCCGGTGGCAAATAATAGCCCAAGTCGAAGAGTGCGCCACCCACCTTCGGTATCTGGGCGGCAGGCGGGACTAGAGTGGCACGCTGGTGCACGGATGGGGGCGCGAGCCGCCATCTTGGACTGTGAGGCGAGTATTTGCAACCGGGAGCTCGCCGCCGCCCCTACACCGCCGCCGCCGCCCTCCCGGTGGCAAATAATAGCCCAAGTCGAAGAGTGCGCCCTGCCCTCGGTATCTGGGCGGCAGGCGGGGCTAGAGTGGCACGCTGGTGCACGGATGGGGGGGCGAGCCGCCATCTTGGACTGTGAGGCGAGTATTTGCAACCGGGAGCGGCCCTCGCCGCCGCCCCTACACCGCCGCGGCCGCCCTCCCGGTGGCAAATAATAGCCCAAGTCTCGAAGAGTGCGCCCCACCTTCGGTATCTGGGCGGCAGGCGGGGCTAGAGTGGCACGCTGGTGCACGGATGGGGGCGCGAGCCGCCATCTTGGACTGTGAGGCGAGTATTTGCAACCGGGAGCTCGCCGCCGCCCCTACACCGCCGCCGCCGCCCTCCCGGTGGCAAATAATAGCCCAAGTCGAAGAGTGCGCCCCCCACCTTCGGTATCTGGGCGGCAGGCGGGACTAGAGAGGCACGCTGGTGCACGGATGGGGGCGCGAGCCGCCATCTTGGACTGTGAGGCGAGTATTTGCAACCGGGAGCTCGCCGCCGCCCCTACACCGCCGCCGCCGCCCTCCCGGTGGCAAATAATAGCCCAAGTCGAAGAGTGCGCCCACCACCTTCGGTATCTGGGCGGCAGGCGGGACTAGAGTGGCACGCTGGTGCACGGATGGGGGCGCGAGCCGCCATCTTGGACTGTGAGGCGAGTATTTGCAACCGGGAGCTCGCCGCCGCCCCTACACCGCCGCCGCCGCCCTCCCGGTGGCAAATAATAGCCCAAGTCGAAGAGTGCGCCCCGCCCTCGGTATCTGGGCGGCAGGCGGGACTAGAGAGGCACGCTGGTGCACGGATGGGGGCGCGAGCCGCCATCTTGGACTGTGAGGCGAGTATTTGCAACCGGGAGCTCGCCGCCGCCCCTACACCGCCGCGGCCGCCCTCCCGGTGGCAAATAATAGCCCAAGTCGAAGAGTGCGCCCCGCCCTCGGTATCTGGGCGGCAGGCGGGGCTAGAGTGGCACGCTGGTGCGCGGATGGGGGCGCGAGCCGCCATCTTGGACTGTGAGGCGAGTATTTGCAACCGGGAGCTCGCCGCCGCCCCTACACCGCCGCCGCCGCCCTCCCGGTGGCAAATAATAGCCCAAGTCGAAGAGTGCGCCCCGCCCTCGGTATCTGGGCGGCAGGCGGGGCTAGAGTGGCACGCTGGTGCGCGGATGGGGGCGCGAGCCGCCATCTTGGACTGTGAGGCGAGTATTTGCAACCGGGAGCTCGCCGCCGCCCCTACACCGCCGCGGCCGCCCTCCCGATGCGTCGAGAGTCGACTCTCGACTGCTGAGAGAGTTCATCCCACCATCAGCACCGTATTCGCCCACAGCATGCCATGAGATTCATATAGGTCTAGTGTACACATCAGCTCAGCGAGACCAATATCTCCAGCCTCCTTCATCTTGGCTGCTGCTTGGGAGCCAACACCTGTGCAAGTGAGTGTCAGAGTGTCGGAACTCGGTGTCAGTTCACACGACTCTTCACACTCGCTCGAAAAAGTGAAATTTCGTTTCACATGAAATGTGAAGTGAAAGTGAAAGTGAAACCGATTCGCTGTTTCCATGTGAAATCACGAACCCTGCGTACATGAGCTCATGCATCTCACGCAGGCGCCAGGCGCCGTCAACAACCCGAAAATAACACAAAAAGATGCGTATTATTTGGGTCTGACGGGGAGGTCTACAGGGGAGGTGCACATGCAGTGTCTCGAGAGTCGAGATCTGAGCCTAGACAAGCTCAGCGCCGGCTCCCTCCGCCGCCTCACACCCTCACTCCGCCGCCTGGCCGGCGAAGAGCATTAGCCAGACAAAGATGAACCCGATCAGCACGAATGTGGACAGGCCATCACTCGCGAGCTCGAGGCCGCCGTCGAGAATCGCGAAGGCGCCAAAGGCGTACCTGCCCAGATCCAGGCGGGGCGAGGTGGCGCCAGGAGGAAGGCAGCGCCTCTGGTCGACCTCTCTCGGCTGGCCTCGGCTATTCTCGGGCGGGTCTGCGCGCCAGAAGGACTGCAGCGCCAAGCTCGGCACGCGCTGCACGAGGATGGTGAGGGCGCCTAACGTGCCCAGATCTCCCCCAGATCTCCCTCATATCTCCACCAGATCTCCACCAGATCTCCCCCTGTGCCGGACTGTCAGTCCGTGCACGGACGCGCTGCGCCGGCCATCCCTAGGGCTGTGGCGGGTACGGGACCACGCCTGCTATTCACAGCACATGCTTTGCCCTGGCGGCGTCAGCCTCCTCTTTCCAGACGCCCCCCCCCCCCCCCCCCCTGTGAAGAGTGGGGCGTGGTCTGTCCTCGCCAGGTCCCTAGGGCGCCCCCGAGGTAGATTGAGAGCACAAAGCAGGCGTAGTCGCCATATCTCCCCCATATCTCCCCCCAGGGCGCCTCCGAGGTAGATCGAGAGCACGAAGCAGGCATAGTAGCCCCACGCCTAGTACCACACCTCCAGAGTATCGAACCCAATGTGGGTTCAGTCCCGTGGGTGGTGCGGTAGCCCCACGCCGGCATCGCCGCCCGGTCGAGCTTCTGGTACATGCCGAAGCCGTCGACCTGTTCACAGCTGGCGGTGTGAAGAGGCGCTGTTCACAGCCACAGAGCTTCTGGTGCATGCCGAAGCCGTAGACCGCGTTGTCGATCGACATGACGAAGGTGAGTACGGACGTGAAGGCGGGGCGCACCTGGCCAAGATATGGGGAGATATGGGGGGGTATGGGGAGATATGGGGAGATGCATAGAGAGATCTAGGGAGATCTGGGGAGATCTGGCGCACCCTCCGCCAGAGCGAGCGGCAACGGCAGAGCTTGTCCGGCGGCCGAACCGTCGGCTCGTACCTATTCACAGGTGCAGGTGTGAAGAGACGCGCTCTCCTCACAGAAGCTTGTCCGGCGGGCGGTGCGGCGGCTCGCACGCAAGCACGACGCCGTCCACGAAGAAGCCTAGAAAAAAGAAATTCGGATGGGCAGAAAAGAAACACGGCGCGGGAAGCCGCCATCCACGAAGCAGACCTACTCACGCGCCGGCGTCAAGAGTCACACGCCCACCCCTCGCGCTGCCCCACCGGAGCACCGCAGGCAGAGAGAGACGCGCCGAGTGCGAACGGGATCGCGTCGCCAGCCTCGGCATTGTCAGGGTCGCCTGACGAGAGTACGACAACGCGGTCGATCTGGGCAGATCTGGGCAGATCTGGGTAGATCTGGGCAGATCTGGGGAGATGTGCACCGTCCGAGTCGATGAACTCATACGGCCAGAGCGCCTGAATAATGATAATTATTATGATAATGAACTCATCATACGGCCAGAGCGCCAATAATAAATACTAAAAAATGACATAATAATAATGATCTCGTACGGCCAGAGCGCCTGGCCCAAGGCTTGGAGCTGGCCCGAGAAGATCGTCCCGATCAGCGTCGCCGCCACCAGCTTCCTGCTCAGAGCGCCGTCCTTCTTGGTGATGTACCCCTGCGACAGCTCGATCGCGTACGTCACGATGAGCGCGCCGCCCGCAAACTCCTCCGACGCCTGACGTCACGATGGCAACGGCCCAGACTCGGGTCACGCGTGGACGGTCCAGACGGTCCAGACTAGTACTTCGACTTGTGAAAGGGAGCTGCGCGAGGCCACACGTGGTGACTCCTCGCCTTGCGGAAGAACTCGGCGCCCTCGCCGTCGCCCAGCGCTTTGTTGACCGGGATGGCAACAGCGCCTGACGCCGCCACGAAGAAGGCGGGCACGGTGCACTTGGCCAGCACGAGCAGCCAGTCGGCCGGACCCTCCGCCTCCTCCACGAACGACGGATTCTTGGAGGAGCTGGGCCCCCTTCTGACCGGCGTCTCTGTCGCCAGCGCCTGCGGTGGCTCTGGAGCATCCTCGAGCACCCGGACGTGATCGGTCTTCCCATTGGTGGTCGAAACGAGCGCGCCACTGCTGTATCCGCTGCTCGTGCGACGGCTGCACCTGCTGCTGACCATCTCGGCGCCGATGAGCCCGGTGATGCTCGAGCTGGATCCGCGGTCAGCGTCTACTCTGCTGGGCATCTGCCTGCCCTCTGGAGCAACGGCGAAGCTCTGGCTTTGGCGACGACAAGGCGACGACAAGGCGACGGCGACGTCTGTGGCGCCCGTCGGAGGCTTGGCAAAAGGAAAAGAATTTTCTGAGGGGCCGGCTCGCGAGGGAAAAAATGATTTTCACTGACCAAGACAGAAAACAAAAGAAAAGTCGCCGAAGCTTTACGAAACGCGGAGGTCACTCGAGCTGCATAACGCCTTGTGCCAAAGTTTCGCGCGTCGCCGGCTTCACCGACGAGACGAAGCTCGCGGACCAACGATGTACGAGGCGAGCCTGTATGTAACGGCCGGCGGGCTCTGTACCTACTCGTACCTCGAGTACTCTCCCGAGCGACCTCGACCTCGAAAAGCCCGCCTCCCCGAGGGCCCCAAGTCAAGAATCTCGTTTGGCGATAGGGGAGGGAGGGTGCCGCCACCCTCTCCTTTTCGCCGCAAAAGTCCGCCGCACACCGCAAAACTTGGGATATATAAATAGCGTGCAGGCGCGGAGGGCGAGGGGGACGACAGCCGTGTATTTTCTCGCAGTTTTTACATTCGATAACAGACAGAGACATTTTCAGTCGCGCATATCGATCCCGGAGAGTGCGGCGAGAACAGGCGCCGACCCGGGTGCGATACCGAAGCTGGGGGCTCGCACGATAATCAGATTGTTGCCGTGACGGCACATGTCCTCTAGGGATTCGTGCTCGGTCCAGTCCAGGGTGTACGGCGGTTGCAGCAAATCGCCCTCGTTCGTGAGAATCCAAATGCGCTTCGTCCTAGTCACATGTAAGGCCCGCTGCGCTCTGTCAGTCCACATTTCGGACAGACACAATCGGTTGCCGAACCCGCACATGTCAAAGCGCAGCTCAAGTCCGTCTTCCCCAGGTCCTGTGCCCCACGGCTTCCCGATCGTGCGAAGGTGGTCGCCCGCCAAGGAGTACACGTCAATGGGACCGCTCTTGACGCCCGCGACGAAGAGCTCTTCGCCGATCACTGCGAGATTCACCGTATAGTCGTTGAAGTTCTCGAAGAACTCGGCGCAAGGCAGCCTGTGCGACTCCTCCAGGCTGAGCGCATCAAGAGCGAGGACACAGTTCTCTCCTGCCACAAAGATGACGCCCAAATCTGGGGCGAGCGCGGCCGCAGCGGTGCCAAGATTGCCGGTCAAATGGCGTTCGGCGAGGACTGCGCGTTCGGCTGGGGGTTCAGCCGCCTCGACCGCGTATCGGCGCAAGGTTTGCGCAGTCGGCGCGTCTGCTAGCATCAATTCGACGTAGACGTTGTCGCTGCTAGCTGCGAGCACTTTCATCTCATAGATGTGCGCGAAGCCG